ATGTAATATTTTCCCTGTAATTATTACAAAAACACAAAATAAGTATAGATAAGTATTTATATTTGTGTACAAGCTGTTTAGATTGTCAAAAAGCCTGTGTTTTTAGGGTTATTAACGAAGCTTGTGTACTCAGACCAGTAATAATTGGGGTCACAAGTTTTTGCCATGGATATTTTGTGGGTCAGAGGATAAAAAGTTTGGGAACCACTGATCTAAAGCTCTGAGAAAACACTGATCAGTTCTGTTTCTTTTGCAGTTTAAACAGGTTCTTTGTATGACTGAGTATAGTTCTGTATGTTGGTACGTTGTGTTAATGCAGGTTTGTCAAGTCACCTTACCTGGCTCCAGTGTTGTTCAGCATGGCTATGATGTCATTTGCACAATAAAACAATTGTTTTCTCCTGTATTTAATTTGCACAAGTATTTTACAAAGAGAACAAAGGTTTTAGGTTCTGATATAAAAATAGAACATAAAAAAAACACTGCAGAGTTTTTCACCTTTTATAGAGACATGGATTTGGAGTTGTTTTTGTCAAACCTTAAAAAATAGTGTTTTGTGCAATCTCATGCTATATTTCTAGAAGTTACTTTCAAAGTATTGTTAATGACTCTCCGTTACTACTACATTAAATATTAACACAGTAGGACTGAGTCAATGAGAGCCATTTTGTTGTTGACTAGTGTTGCTCTGTTGTGATGACCGTCTTGAATTGGATTAACTGTTAAACATGATCAGTTGCAGGTGCACATCTAATGACAACTTTCAAAGAGTTTAAAATATCCAGTGGTTCATAAAATATTTTGTTGAAAGACAAACACTTTTGACCTGCACAATGAAAAGCACCTGGATTATACTGTATGTGGTAGGGATGTCCCGATGCAGACTTTTTGGCTCCCGATACAATCCGATTTTTTTAATGATTAGTCTTTCCGATACCAATCCGATACCGATCCAATAGCTTTATTTCTTTATTTCTTTCCAAGTGACAAGGTTGGTAGTATTAAAGCGAGCTCTGCTGTTCCCACCACGAGAAACATCCAGTTTGCAGATTGTGCAAGGTAGTTTCAGCATCATTGTTTTCCATTGAAAAGTGTTCCCACACTGTGGACATGGTTGCATACTTGAGTGCGTCTTGACTTCTTAACAGCAGTTGTAAAGCATGATCAGTGTTGTATAAAGTACCTCAAAGTGATACTTGAGTAAAAGTACAAGTATCTTATCATAAAAATACTTTGGTAAAAGTTAAAGTCT